AAGTCAAATCACTGCAAAGTTAGGAAAAATGGAGTTAAGGTGAAATTTAAATGAATTTCAGAATAGCGAGGGATGGAAAAGCTTGAATAGTGTGTGTAGAAATTCTGACACATAATGACATCATCCACTAGACACATTATTGTTATGAGCATATTGCTGGTCCTACAAGGAATGAAACTAATTTTCAAAGAGAACACATCACTTACCTGCTCCTGCCCTATTTTACCCTCGCAGTAATACTATACAAAGATAAATTTGCTGTGGATCCACAGGACACAATGACCTCAGAAGAATATGGAAGAAAATGGGTTTGCCATTGCCATGTAGAAGAGTCACACTCAATTCCTAAGGCACAGACATTTTTCAGTCATATTAGATCCTCCTTGTGCCCTTCTTCCCACACATCCAGAAATTAGGGCCCTACCTGATAATGAGATTCCACCTGGGCCATAATGTAAGCAACAATGATAACCACAAAGGTTACAGAATTTTCAGAGGCAGCAGACTGTATAAGATAGGATGAAATCCTTGGACACACAGGAGATTCTCCATTGCATCTTAGAAAGCACAAACTTTCTAAGGAGTCATGGCAGAAGAATTATGCATTTGAGACTTTCATAAACGTTTCATCCTTATCATTTTCTTTATGGTAGAAAACAACTCAAAGATCAGTAATTTTTTTCCATCATCTGTTATCTCTGTTATCTCAGAAAGGAAATTTCAGCCAGTTCTTGGACAAAGAGCCAAATTTACACCTAGTGTAAATCCACAAAAGTCTGTACTTTGTGTTATACTTATGTATAAGTAACATTCTTAATATAAACTGTAGCTTAAAATACATAAAAACACCAGTGTTTGTCTTGTATATGTCACAACTTAAGTACTTCTGCAACTTCATATAATCTCAGCTAAAGACCATCACTGTCCAATAAAATTGACTGAAGCTGTTGATTGTGCCTTCATCTACACTGGCTGAATCTAAGCCTGTAATTCTCTGTCTCTGGTGACAAAGATGAAAGTGATATAATTTATATAAAGAACAACTATTGCCTGCTCTAATGGCCACACAATACAATGTGAAAATGCCAGTAGTGTTGACTACAGCCAAATTTCTACTGCTCCATCAAAAGAGAGTTGTGTTGGTGGTGAATTAAAAGGCTATTTTTCCCAGCCTATGCAAGGTCTTGACAATCAGAAATATTTGAACTTGACATTTGATTAATTCTGGCAGTACTTTATAAGTGATTTCCACTCGACAATGTCTAATTATTTAATTATTTCCCATTATTAATGGAATGAAACTATTCAAAACAAACAGCTAGAATGACTGTTTTGCCAGAAGCTCATAATCATTAATTCATATGTGTAGAAATCTTCCTAAAATTATATTAAGCTGGCCTGTTGAACTTGAAAGGCATATTTTATCCCAATCAATGCATAAAAGTAAAATCATCCATAACTAAGGCATGTTTCTCTGCTGTACAGTTCAGCTGTAATGATCCCCACACACTGCACTTGCACATCAATTATGATAATCATAATCACGGTCGTTAAGCTGAATGTTCATTATTATCAGGATGCTGGTGACAGCAGATTCAATCATCGGGTGCAATGGGCAGGCAGTCACAGTCCCACCCAAGTTTCTGCAGACAGCGTTGTGCCACATTAAATCTATGATGTGTTCCACATCCCACTCCATTCCAAAAGCTGTAGACGGTAAAGGTCAACTTTATGTTCTGTGCAATATGCTTAGGTTCTCTAAATTAATTCTTTGCAGTACTGGGTATTTTTATGCTTTGTAGATAATAAAATTCTGTTTAGGGCCAAAATGTCTGTGCAAATAATGAAACAGTGATGCAGTCATACTGTAATTCACCTATAATAAGGCATCAGAAGAAAGAATCTATCAGGAAAGAACATCTTAAAATGTCACTTCCTGAATTTTGCAAATAAGAAAACATTAAATGCTGCCATTAAAGTCAGTTTTCTAAAATGCATATGCAAACTAATTCCAATACAGATTAAAAGCTGTAAGCCATCATTTCTGCCTCAGTAAAAACGAACATATGTGAGTGTTTTGACAACAGAAAGATTATAGTTAGTGTATTGGATCCCTGACTGTCCAGCTACATTGGAATCTATCACTGGAGATTAAATTATTAGAGATTAGGAAAGTTTGATATCGATACTTCTCACAAATTCTATCAAAGGCATTCCAAGGTATTTAGACATACTATGTTAAACTTAAAATATGCAGGCGTTTTTATTTTTGTAGTAGTTTGCAACTGGGTAAACTAACGACATTCAGTTTCACTGTATTTACATTTCTTGCTTATTTTTAATAAAGAATTAGAACACAACAATTTTTCCTTTAACTCAGGGACTTCTTTGAAATGTAATCAGAATGTGATAAAATTTTTCAGATTATAACTAGATGAAAAGAAGAACTATTAACTTTTCCTCTCATAGATATGACAATTATTATGTTTAGAGGAATTCTATGCTAATATGCTTTCATTTTCCAGAAGAACTATAACAAGGCAATATTTTTCATTGTTGTTCATTTTGCTTCTAAAGTAATTACATAATTTACATACTAATCTTTTTGTGACTTGAATTAAAATGCATACTTATAAACACATGAAAACCTCAGGAAAATACACCCAGGACATGCTCTTGAACATACAAAGGAAAACTTTTTTACATGTAGTTCAAAAAAATGCCAGATAGTACCAGCAGCTCAGAGGGGTCACTGATGCCCTAAGCACTGAACTGATTCCTCGGAAGAACTCATGCAGTACTTTGTCTTAGCAGCAATGATAAGAGAAACTTCTCTAGCAGAATACTGTCAGAAGCTGAATATACATCATGGCAGGGTTATCAGCTGTTCCAGTTGTAATATAAGTAGCTATCACCTCATGGGAAACTCAGAGGATGCTTGTGTTTAGCAGAAAAACTATTCAGCAAAATATCTGTTTGGTTTCTCTTTTAGTATTTTGATACACACTCTTCAGTGGGATGATTCATTAGAACAGGTTGATTTTGTTCATAGCACTGATATATACAAAGTTTTAGTACAGTTTAGAAATAAGGAAGGGACAGGGAAGTCTTTCAAATTTAACAGTTACAAAAGTATGATCTCACACCTGCCTGCAGAACCTTTTCCATTATACTATAGAGAAGAGGTGGATCTTCTAAGGTTTTTTTGCTGATGATAATTACCCATTAAACCAGGAGAGAGGTCATAAATAGTGCTTTTCTCCTCTTATCTCTCTGTTTGGGTAAGCGGCTCCTAATTGAAGCTTCATATTGATTTAGAATTGGGGTTGGAAGGCTGTGTGTCATGTTGGGTTAATGTGTACGGCTATTCACCTCCAGAGATTTAGCTTGAAATCTATCCAACATCACAAGTAAAGTCAGTTTAGTTGTTTCGCCTAAGCCCATAATTTATGTTTATTATATTATATGTGTGATATGATGTACAATATAAATAACTTTACAATGTTTAATATCATAATCTGAGCCTGAACAAGAACTGTTAAGGACTGGAAAAGAAACAGTCTTTATAGGAGAAGATGACGACTACTGATGAGACCTTTAGATCTTTTTCATATATTATACTTACACTGTGTGACTTCAGCCAATCATATCCTCTGCTGTTGCTTTTGAAAGACAAATTCAAATCTTTTTGTCTGAATGTTGATCTTTGTGCTTTTATTTGTAATTTATTTAATTAATGTATGCTAAAATACCAATATTTTACTCTGACCTCATTTTTATAGCTTTGAGCTTTTTTAAGTTTTGAGAAACAATTATTTTAAAAAATATTACTTCTCAAACTAAGATTCCATGGAATTTGTTGTATGTTTATTTATAAAGACTAAGTTACTTCTGGGAAACAAGTAACCATACCTTGCAAAACCCTAGAACTGTTCAGGTTGGAAGAGACCTCTTGAAATTATCTAGGCCAACAACCCTTCTCAGCTGGAGCAGGTTACCCAGGAACGTGTCTAGTTGGGTTTCAAATACCTCCAAGGATGGAGACTCCACAACCTCTTTGGGAAACTTGTGCCAGTGCTCTGTCACCCTCACAGTAACAAAAAACAATATTTTTTTTTTTCTTGTGTTGACATGGAATTTCATGCTTGCAATTTGTCTCTTTTGCTTCTTGTCTTGTCACTGGGCATGAATAAATGTGAGAGGAGTATGGCTCCTCTTTCTTCATTCACTCCCACCAGGTGTTTATACATATTGATAAGATATCCCCCAAGGCTTCTCTTCTCCAGTCTGCAGAGTACCAGCACTCTCAGCCTCTCCTACAAGTGATGCTCTAGTCCCTGAACAATTTTTGTGGCTCTGTGCTGCATCTCTACCGAGATCGTTATTCTTGTAATGGGAAATTTTAATGTGATTATGATACTTAACACAAATAGAAGTGATGCAAACGTTACACAAACTCATGTTAGAACATGTTCTGAGGAAAATAACATCTTGAAGCACTGCAAGACCAGAAATAAATTACTGACAAAACAAGCAGTTTAATGATACTAGCTTAAAATAAAAATGGCTCTTCACTACTTTTTAGAATTTTCCAAAGAATGTAAGCAACAAATATTTTGTCGTTTTTAATCAGATTTTGTCATAATTTTCTAAAGGTTTATCTTAATGTGCAAGAGTAAATAGGCAATCTCTCTTAAATCAAAAGAGGCAATATAGATAAAACAAAACTTTTGCAAAATGTATATGGCCAATTAGTACTTAATCAGGCTTTTAAATCTTTATCCTGTATGTGGGAGAGGTGTTGAATTTCCTCAAACTGAGCTTACCATAAAGAGAATAAGAGAAGCCCCAAGCATCAGCTTGAAGTATAAGATTTTATAACATGCTAGAAAGATTTCCATTGGATTCCACAGTCTCTGAATCGGGCACAAATTAATTTGGTTTTATTACAATAACAGTCTAAAAATGTAAACTGTTCTTTAATTTTTGCAGTGACTTACCTTGTCTGATACCCACTTCTCAGGCTGTACTTCTCGGAAGTGTTTACTTCCATAAGCTTCTTGGACATATTTGCCTGACCTATAAATTGATGGGTCATACTTCTCATTTTTATGATATGAAGAAAATGGCAGAAATCTGAAATTCAAGAATATTGAAAAATCAGTTGTGCTTTACTCTAGATGCCACAAGATTGATGTGAATCCATAGGTTACATCAATACATGTTCCTGCTATTTTCTACTACCTTTTTAATGTTCCCTCTCAGTATTTTGAGAGCATTACTGCACTTTCTCTTCTAGCTGCTTTTAAATTAAACTTGGAGCACAAAGACGTAGAGTTTCAATAGGTTACAATGCAGGTTTTCTGTATGAAGATTTAACTTGATTCACTTGTATTATTAGGTTATTACTTTTGCTGTACCTGCACTACCAACTCATGTGGTGTGAAGAGAGAATGGGTAGGGTTCAATTTGCTGGCATCTGCATATTGACACCTCAGATCTTAGCAGGCAGTGAGATCTGTGCCAGCTGTCCGTGGCAGGCGTGCACTACGCACAAGCACAGACCTCATTTCTGGAGAACTTGCATTCATATACAAGTCATGTGGGCCCCAAATACATAACCTCAACCTGATCCTTCCATCAGGATGGAAACATTTCAAGCATGTCAGCAGTATAAGCAAAAAAACAAGGCAAATGTGTTTACTATACCTTAAACTATGTATGCATCATTTGATATCTGTCAACCAAAGCTAAACAAACTATAAGCTCATTTAGCAGGATAGATATTTATACAAATAGTACTGGTGACTTTCATGTATTAGCAGCCCCAAAGCAAAGAAATTATTTTCTGAATATACAGGTTGTGTACTTTACTCTCACATTATCATTGTATCCTAATTAGCAATCTTTTGCAGCCTGATTCTTTCACCTTTGGTCATATTGATGGTGGACTCCCTGCTTACATAATGCCAATGAACAATGAACCTCCAGCTAAACACTTTGGGCATGGAAGAGGTTTTCAGATGGATGTCCCTAACTCTCATGGACAGGTACAGATTTTCTGAGTAGGTTCCACAGCAAACTGTACGGAGGAAGGTGAAAGACATTTATGTATAAAGAGTCTGTAAAAAAACTATAAAGATGTCTTAGTTCCATCTATTTCAGTTTGCAAGATAGTTATGAGAGCAAACAGGTGCATTTTAATATAAAGTAAAATCTTGTGAATTAAGCTTATCATTGCTAGTATTCTGAAAAAGCAACTTGCACGTGCAGGAAAAATTACTATAAAGTAAAATATGTGCTTCAGAAGTTTAAAACATCACTTTAACTGTGATGGTAACAGATGAAGTTAATGAAAAGCTTTTCCTAGTTGAACGCTTTTCAGAATCCAGTGTACACAGTCAAACAAGTTTTTGATAAAGATGGGGAATAAAATACCTTTCTTTATCTCTCAGCTGATACAGACTCTGAAAACAGTTTGGACTGACTGGTCCATCATCAACTGTTTAAGTGGTTTTTTTGTGTTTGTTTGGGTTTTTTTTTTGTTTTTTTTCAGTGTGTTTTGGTTTTGGTTGGTTGATTGGTTGATTTTAATTACATGTACTTCTTTCTATCTCATAAAAAGAAACTATCTTAGAATTTTCCTGGCTGTATCAATTTATTCTATCAAGTATAACAAACAAATATCATGTAAAGTTAGTGCAAGAAAAACACTGAGTTAGCAGATTTTTAAATTACACAAAGCTATAGTAGCATGTGTATACTCTTGGGAAAGGGCACTCTCACATAAGACAGATTATGGTACTTGTAATGCTAATTTGCACATGGGATGGACATCACACACACACAAAAATTAATGTAGCCCCAGTGTCCCAGAGAATACATCGAAGGTGCTGTGAGCCGGCTGCTCCACTTGCAGTTTTTATCACTTCTGAATTGCATTTTAATAGTACATTTTTCTTTTGTTCAGACATGAAAGAAAATTGGCTTTCTCAGGGGACTGGGTAGCTGAGAAGACAAGGCTAGCAGTTTAGGGATTTGTCCATATATGTATAGAATTTAGTTGAGCTATAGCATTCATAATTCAATGTGAATGCTACATCCATAAAATTTATAAACAAAATGGAAAAAAAAAATTGAGATAACTAGAAGATAAAGTAAATTATTACAGTTTTCCCTATAAAATTTTGCACATAGATGTTTCGATTTTACTGTGGATCCATTCCTTTTTGTCTTTTTGGCAAACGAATACTCAGAGTAATCTGTGTTCCACCATATTTTGTTTAGCACAAACATAATCTTCAGTGCTCTGCTGCATATCTCCCTTAAGATCATTAACTGGACTATGTGCCATAAAGCCTGGGATGTATGTCTATGGCTGAGTAAAAAAAAAAGAAAATTACTATGAATTTTTGAGGAAGAACATTGAACAATAAAAGAATATTAAAATTGAAATGAAAGAACATTAAAAATATCATTGACTATAATGGCATAAAGCAGTCTAAAGTAGAAACTTTCTTTTTTTTCTTCCCTCTATAGTTCTGCTGTCAGAGCTGGGTGGGCAGATCCTTATAGTGATAATGATCTAACTACAAGAAAGGATCACATGCTTACAAATTCAATGTCTGTTTAAAGCAAGTAAGAATTTTCATTACTCTATGTGAATAAGTAATTAAAAAGAACATTAAAACAATTTTTTGTGTTAAGTAGGGTAACCAAATTAATGGGAGTCATACAAAAGCCATTATACTCCCACAACCAATACTAATAGTAAAAAGCAATAGCACTGCAAAACACTTCAGTAATGGTATTGTGTTCTGTAGCTCTATATATATATACCTGACACAGCTTTTCCCAAAATTAATGACAGTATGTGCTCTGAATGTGACAGAAGAGAGTGATGGAAGAAGAAAATTAAATCCAGACAATGGTATGATGCCATTATCAACTGCACAGGTTTAGACCTCAGTAGTCTTATTCCACAAAAAGCTTACTGTCAGGATTTTTACATCTGGATTTCAGATTTTCCTTGTGATTTAAGTGTAAATTCAGGTTTTCAGTAAATATGACTGAGACAGGAGTAACAGGATCAAAGAAGAATTAAATTATGTATTCAGAATAAATAAACATAGTCAGTCTAAGGTGAACCTTCACAAAAGTTGATGATTTGATGGGAGGTGAACTTTCCCTAAAGAAATACATTTTAAAATTAAAAATATTTAATTTCAGCCACCACAAAAGCTTGAATGAGAGGTATGCCAAAGGAAACATTCAAGGCAGGGAGAAGGAGCTAGAACCAAAAATGGGAAGATGTCTCAGGTTCTAGAAATAGCAGTATTACACATACACAACCTGAGGGAGGACCAGAACCGAAGCTGGCAGTGTCACTGGTAACAAAGGCCAGCTGCACTGCTGCCAGGACCACACGATGTCGAACCTAATTAGCCTAAAAAGACCTAGAAGCTTCAATGTGGCAGCCAGTCCTGGACCTGACAGCTGCTAGTGATGTGTATTTAAATTTCAAAAGATACTCTAGGTATTAGCTGTTAACATAAAAATCACTCCCTTCACTTGTCCTGCCCTGCACCTCCCTGCTACTATCAATTTCATCTTGCTAGTCTTTCTTTTCCCAACATTTTTACTCCTTCATGATGTTTCTTTCTGCATTCTTCACCTACCATTTCCCTCTACCTTCCCCCTATTCTGTCTGCTTTATTGTAGTATCTCTCACTGTTGTGGCAGGAAAGAGAAGAGCCCTTGTAGACCCTGAAGGCCTTCCAGCAGGGTTGCCCAAAGCAATAGAAGCAGCAGTGGGTACTGGGTTCTAATATCTGTGGCAATGTGAGAGGAGAGAGCATTGGCACAAACAGGAAGGAGGATTTGTCAGGTCCATCATTTACTGCTGGGCAGCAGTGTCGCAGTGCAATATGATACCTACCAACAGGACACAGTTCAGAGGTATTAACTTCTTGAAATTAAATGGCATTTAAAAAAGAGCGGTCCTTCGGCATGTTCTCTGGACCAAGAGGCAAAATTTCAGCAGTCACCAGTGCAAGCATGTAATCCTGATACCAGAAATGCTTTAAACTTTACCCTGTTGTATTGGAGCAGGCTGTCCAGGGAGATGGTAGAGTCACCATCCCTGGAGGTGTTCAAAAAACATGTAGACGGGGCACTTGTGGACATGGTTTAATGATCATAGTGTTGGGTGATGGTTGGACTTGATGATCTTAGAGGTCTTTCCCAACTTTAATAATAGCAGTAGTTTTACTGCCAGACTGTCATACATGCTGCACTATCAGGGCACAGCAAGAAATATTAAAATCATAAAACAAGAATAAATGTTCTGTTTACATGGTTTTTCAAATATTCATAATATTTTTATATACTGTACATTTTTGTAATTTAGTAGTAAAAATACGACCAAAATCTTAACTCTAGATGTGAAATAGTGTTGTTAGATTTTTTACTAAATTGGTTCTATGCAATAGCAATTCAATTCCTTCTTGTCTTGATATAATTAAAATAAAACAATTTTATCCCACTTTGAAGAAGACTGTGAACAATTAACTCCAAACAAACTAGGCTTCTCTGTCGGGAAGCTGTGAATTTTCTTTTTTTTTTTCTTTCCTTTAAATAAACCATGAAAAAAAATTTAAGGATTCAAATTTGGGTTATACTTGAAGTTATTTCTTCATCAAATCCATCAGTGTCTCTCTTTTCACTCCGGGAACAATGGAAGAAGCACAATGTTTTTTTCGTAGCAAAAGAACTGCATGCAGCAGGGCAGCCATTAGTTACTTCATAATGAGGGCATATTAAAATCAAAGTACTATTTACAAAAATAAACCCAGAATATTTTACTTATATCTATTCAGATTACCTTAGCACAGTATTTTTTTTCTATAAGAAACTTACTCTGGGTGCATTATTACAAATATTGTCTACAGTAACACATTAAATGCCTATATTTTCATTAAACAATCAATCACTTTATTCTAACACCAGTAAATCTAAGACTCCTCTGGCTGTTTTTGTTTAACCCCTGTCTGAAACAATGTGAAATGGCAAAGAAAAGCATAGTCTAGTTCTTGTAGGAAGTAAAAGAGATCAATTCTGCAGCAAATTCTGGAACTTCTTAATTATACACAGACTTATTATCTGCATCCCCAGTGTTATAAAGTACCAGAACTTCATTAGAAAAATTAAGATGGAAAAATGAAGGCGCTACTTTGTAAATTTCCAGTGGAAATTAGCTGGAAGAAGCAGAGGAATACTGGATCAAAAGAGGGTAATCATGCTTAACTGTGCCCTAGAGCACCCGCATGTATAATACGATTTGCACAGTAACTACCTCTCCTATTACTGCTTGTTTGGAGTATTCTGTGTTAATGGGGTTAGCTAATTTAGTATTTTAACTTAAAAAGACTCTGCTGATTAATAAATGTTGCACACTGTGCTAGTAATTAAAATAAATGGAAGAGTTACGAATAGAAGTTGAATTGTTAAGAAAACATTATCTGAAAATATATGATAATCCCTGTTTATCATACTACAATAACAGTCCGGAAAATATGCAAATTGCTGAAGTTGCAAAGCACATGAGAAACTAAATATAATTTGAAAAAAGTTTTAAGATGTGTTATATTTGTATGACATTAAGTGTAGTAGCCATTTTCATTGCAGCCAAGTCAGATATACAGTAAAACGTTTTATAAATGTAGAAATGAAAAGATTTTTTTAAGTCTTAAATCTCATCAATGTGACTTGCTTTTTACATGTTACTACCATTAATACCATAATACCAGGCAGCTCATAACACTGATGCTCTGCAGGTATGGAGCTTATTTAGATGCCCACCTTCTCTGTAAGCACAACTTTCATGCACAGCACTGTGCAACACAGAGGCACCTAAGCTGGTTCCAGGGGAAAGCAGCACCTTGCTGAGAATAAGCCCATGAGAAGCTTGGTGCTGCAACGTTCACACAGCGTGTGAGAGGCGGGGTGGGCAGACATTGCACTCTGCTGCACACAAGTGAACCAGTGTGTTCAGGTTACCTCCAGTGCAGCACTGAGCATGAACACAGCCAGAAGCTGAGATGACTTGCCTGGTGTCACACCAGAAGACTACAATAAATCAGCCTTACGCTATTGCTGGTTTATCCCTATTCGCATTTATCACCTTCTATCACCACAGCTGCATGCAACTGAGTAAAGAGCTTTTCATGCTTAGTGTTTTAAATCTGCTGGATCCAGCAGTTGGTGTCTCAAACTAGACACTAGTTTATTAAGTGGCCATCCCAAAGGAGTCCAATTGTTATTCCTATCTGTGTGGAAGGGAAAATCACTTCATTTGTATGAAAAATAGCACAATAAGGAAGTAACAGCTTCAATTGCATGAGAGAAAGGAATCATTCTTATTAGGCTAGATTACCCAGTTGCTCTTTCATTACAAAATGGGAAATTCCAACAGCTGCTTTAAGTAAGCACAACATTCCCTCTTGCTTTCACTTCTACTGCTTCCACCTACCTCAAACTCTCCCACATCTTTTTGAATTATTTCCCTGTTTTAGCAGAAACAAAAACTTTCTTAGAGCTTGAAACACTTAGAGAAAACATATTATCACTTTAAAGAACCCTGATAAGCAAAGGTAAGTGGGGATTCTGGATGTTACTGGAAATTCCAGGTATACACCAACAATTTTTCGACCTTAAGAGATATCACACAATACTCTGGAAATACACAGATTGAGGATTCAGTTTGTCGTTTTATGCAAACACAAGCTTTCTTAACAAATGCCACACTTTTCCACTGCTCATTCTCTCCTTATTTTCTAAAATAGAAGAATAATCAGCATAGAAAGCACTACCAGGAAGAAATACAGTCCCAAAGTACACAATTACATAGAAAAAGACAGAAATTTGTCAATTCATAATAGACAATTCTGAGAAAAAAATAGTATAGAATCTGAGTAACCCTTTGTTGACTCCTTGCTGGACACGGGCATACCACACTGCAGCTGCAGCATTACTAGTGAGCATTAGTCCTGATGATGACCTGCAACTCTGTCATCACCTTTTCAAGGTTACAGATGTGACCCGTACATGGTTGGTTGAATATGAAGCACAAATGGAATGTTCACAGCCTGAAAATGTATAATACACTATGCATTTAGCGTGCATGAAGCTGAGAATCATTGATGTTAGGACATTGCTTCTGTGCATTAAGGATGACACTAAATGCTTCCTTACCCATAAAGTAAATAAAGACCTCTGATCAATTAATATATGTCAAAGTTGGAGATCCCAAACTTAAACTGCACAAGACCAAAGCTTTACAATTCACTCACTGAAGAGAGTCCATAAAATATTTATTACACGATCTGACCTTCTGAAACTGTTGATACAGTGATGTCTGGGGTAAAACTCATCAAATAAAGACTGGGCAATATAGTCATGTCTATAAATGAAGGATGTCATCCATCCTCACTTGGAATGCATCAATCAAAACTCATTCAGTGAAATGAACACTTTAAATGAAACTCATAATATTAATTGTTACCTAGCAGGTTTGGGGTTTGGCTTGGGTTTTGTTTCCTTTTTTTTTTTTTTTTTAATAAACTAGGAGAAGTTAGAATTAAAAAAAAAAAAAAAACTAATTCAAGCTGTGATGTGAAAGTTAAGCTGCTTCTCTCTCACCGCAGAAAATGAAAGGATGCAGAGAGGAATAGAAAACTAAAGTATCTTTTCACTTTTAACTAAATTCAGTTATGTTTTCATAGAATCATTAAGGTTAGGAAAGACCTCTAAGATCATCAAGTCCAACCATCAACCCAATTCTACCATAACCACTAAACTATGTCCTGAAGTGCCACATCTATAAGTTTTTTGAACACCTCCAGGAATGGTGACTTTCCTTTCAGTATGAAAGGAATACAAAGTACTGTATCTCATTTTTGGCACCAAATATAATATGTTAACATTTTCTAAGACTAGAAAAGTAGCCATACTAGGAGATTTTTTTTCTTTCAAAACTGTTTTTGAGTAGAATTTCCATTTAAAGTCAATTTTAATATTAAATCAAGAAAACTGTGAGGAAAACAGTCTAACAATGAAAGCATAAAACCCAAACCATGCAAATGCAATCTATTCTGGCATTCTTAAGTTCCAGTTCTGAAGCTGACACATGGCAACACAGAGCTGTTAGAAAAGCTTGAAACGGATCAAAGACAGCAAAGCATCTTGTCCCAGTGAATCAGCGGATCACAAGCTGCTCATGAGGAAAAGTGATTCCTTTCTGCCCTGAATTCTGGTATTAATGTGTCAAAGGATTGCCAAGAGCAGTGAATTCAAGAGAGAAGTTGACAAAACATCTTTTTTTTTTTCTTTCTAGTTAACTACAAAGCAAGAGCAAGTGACTCAACAGGCTTTTATTAAGATTGGAAAAAAAGAGTTCCATCATGATAAGAAAAAAAAATTGGAAATATTTTATCGATAGCCTTATATTTTTGGGGACAGAAGGCTTAAATCTTTTGGTATGGATTATGTCTGTATTGGGGATTGTACGGAAAAGAATTGGTCTGTCTGACACTATTACAGATGCTACAGCTTGGGAAACCAAACTGCTTCAAAGACGATTACAGTTTTTGCATCATGTTCTAACATGTGCAACATATGCTCCCTTCCCTTCCAAGTGAGCTTTGGTAGTCTACTGGGAGAGAAAGCGAGTCTCATTGGCATGCAACACCATTTTTTCCTCCCATAGTCTGTAAGCTCCCTGAATACGAAGACCAAAACAGTATTTTTTCCTCTGGCAAGGTGCCTTGGCAAAACAGAATTTGCATTTGTTTTCTTATTTCCCATTAAGCCCACCTGTTGTATCACATATTATTATTATTATTAAGTTCTTCTATGAATTCATAGATATGGATGACACATGTCACACAATTACAAGATAAGGTCTTTGCCCTGAACAGTTTATAATCTAAGGACACGGAATTTAGGAGTATGTACACAGAATGTTTGCTAGCAAGCTGTCAGGTTGACATTTCATTTTGTCAGGCATGAAAGGTTTCTGAAAGCAACAGAATAAAGCAAACATTCTCATAACAATATAAGAAAAAAGAAAGAACTTACTCATTGTCATGTATGCGGTTTCTCCATTCCTCCCTTTTTATTTCCTCTCTGGCCTTCTTTAGTGAATTGATTGATGCTGCCACTCGCAAGGTTGGTTCCAAAGGCTTGTAGCGCTGCCGCAACACTTCAGCAGTATCACGGAAAGGCCCCTGAAAGGTATGAGTGTTTTATTGTGGGGTTACAGTTCCTTTCTTTCCTTTTTTTATTCATGATACATCACTGATGAAAGAGGACACAGAGCATCTGGGAAGCGTAGCAAGACTTCTCTTCCAATGTAATTAAAGCACTTCATTTTGATAGAGAGTTACAGATAACACAAAGGTTGATAACGTGCTCTAGAGCTCCAAAGAAAGAGTGAGAAACAGGCACTCCAGATTTATTCAGCTACTAATAATTATGTATTATTTTAAAACAACATATTGCAGGAACTGATTAGGAAAACACAGGTTTTCCTTAGAAAAAAAAATACTGCTGAAATAATATCTAGTACATAAGTACTAACTGCACTTAAATTCTGCTTAAGCAGAAAGCTTAAGTCTTTTCCTCTTCATGGGATAAATGATGTTTTACCTTAAAGGGTATGCTCTTCTCAAATTAATTATAAATTCACCTGGAAGGGAACTTAATACATGATTTAAGATATAATTCTGTTAATAGAATTCAAACTAATGACTTCAATAATATAGTTTATAGTCCACTTTTGAAAAGTCTAAATCTACATGAATTTCATTATTCTTAAAAAAAAAAAAAAGGCCCATAATTCTTTCACAAGTCTCTTTCTGTATAAACATATATATACTTTTTTTTCCAGGTTATATTTTTTAATAACTGATCATATCAGCATCTACCATTTAACATCACAAATAAAGAGCAGCAGGAAATCCTTTCCTGCCCTGTCAAAGGGACATGTCCTATGTCTTGGTTTTAGTACTAACCAGGAAAAACCTACCCGGAGTATAATTACTACTGTGTTACATTCAGGAAAGCGTAGTGGAAACTCTGGATTTAGAAGTGTTGCTAATTATTTTTTTATTTTATTTTCATCGCTGTTGATCCTACAATAAACCAGTGGAACCTGGAACTATGAAGAGACAAAGAATCCTAATCACAGCCTTTATTCTTAAAGATATCCTTCTTTAAATAGGTTATCACTAACAAGTCACAGCTGGAGTTACTGCAAGCACTGAGTGAAGACTGTGGGGCTAATAAAAAGAAATGATTCACGCCTCATTTATGTTCACTTATGTTTTACATTAATAGAAACCAATAATAGGAACCAGTTACCATAAAAGTCATGGACCGTAAATAACACAAATGGCAAATAAGTATCATCTAGTACTTTTCACAGCTGGACAGGAGGATTGCTATATTTGAAAGTAGTTAATGGATTTTTATTGGAACTTTGCTTTTTAAAGGCACAGCACCATGATTTGGAGATCTTCTTAAAGATCGTAGTAAGCAAGTAAGCCTAATGTTTACACTTCTTGCAGATATTTTTTTGCTTCTACATTCTATGTGTGAAAAAATACATTCATTTTAGAAGACCACAATGAGTCTTTAAAAACAGAATGAAAAGTGTTACCATCTGTGAGAGAACAATACTAGAACAGTATATTAAAACTAGTTAGCAGTCTTATAGTAATATACAAACTGATGATCAAATTATTTTAAAAGTTTAAAAATTATAATAAAACAAATCCTCTGTATTGCAAGATGTTTGCATGAATTGAATATATGGAGCACAGAAGAAAGAAATAATATTGTCAAATAATATCAAGATAAATATGTTTGCTTTTAGGAAGTAGTCTTTGAGAATATTGTATTTCTTCTTCATTGTAAAATATTGATTCATATTCCACCACAGTGAGGGCCAAATCAGATATCCAACCAAGGATTTTTTTTTTCCCATCTTTAATTTCTAAGCCCTTCTAACTCTTTCTCAATCCATAGTTCAAATGAAATTAATAGAGTCCAACTACTAATGGAAGGGGAGGGAAAGGATGTAGCTAAGCAAAGGTCTCTAAAGCAAGGCTGTGTTGTCACTACTGAAAGCGGGGTATACGAGTTAGCATATTAAGATAATTCTAAATATTCCTTGCAGATTTTTCCATTCCTGTGAATTAGGTGTTTGAAGAAACTTACCTAGCAATAGACACCTAAGGAATATATCTAAGAAGACAAGATCTCTAAAAAGCCCATTTACCTATTTCCATTTTACAAAATTAGCCTTAAGATTTGTGGAACCTGTGGTAGAATGGTGCTTACAAATATTTTAAAATTGGTGCTGCCTGGAAGCATTCAGGCATGCTGCTTCAAAATGGAAATCTCCCTGGGGAGGTCAAGCTACGAAAGGAAGAGAGGGAGTCACAGAACTGTATGTTCTATGCTTGGAAATTGTACTTAGTATAAATCTTCTTGCTACTGATTGGTCTGCCAAACAAAGGTTAGCAGATAGGCATTCTTACTACTTTAAAATGAAATCAGACACTTGTGGTAAAAATAATGATCTATACAAAATCGTAGGTTCTTCACTGCTCCCGTTCCAGGAGAGCTTAATAGCATGCAAAAAAAATCCCCTAAAAATGGCAATGTGCTTTCTGCTATTAATGCCCTTAAATGAACAGATTACTAATTTTAGCATTATCTGTGTTTCCATCAAACTGAAATTCTAGTTAACTCAGTAATAAAAATGAGAGATCCAACTGATATATAAGCACCATTAAAACTTTTCTTTCAAAAATACTCTTACACACGCAGAGCTTGCCTATAAAATGCTAAATATCCATTTTCTTAAGAAAAAGCTGATAACTAATTTTTGTTTTTTAAACATACATAATTAAAATTCCCATATAAAATATCCAACCCTCTGAGCCATATAAATTTTAGATACCTGAAAGAACAGTGAAGTAACAAGTGACTCACAGTGGGCCTGATAGATATTAGAAGAAGAGGCTTGGTGCCAAAAAGTGTTACCACAGAGAACTAGGACACAAGTATTTCTAGTAATTAAATTCCTTATTGTCACACCAGACAACTTTCAGGATGATGCGTTCTGATGGGTTTTCATTTCCAGCTGTTTCACCAGCTCTACCCAGTGTCCTTTCCTTAGACATACAACCCTAAATTGTCAAAGTGTTGTGCAGGGATTTAGCCGTGTGACTCCCATTAACATCAATAAGAGTCGCGCAGCTAAATCCACGCACTGTGCTTTGAAAATTTACCCCACAGTGTACATCCCAGGGTGCTGAAAGGATTAAAGTATTATATAGCAAATTCCCTCTTTGAGGTGCAGAAAATAACCAGAACTCTTCTGGTTTGTTCTAAAAGGCTATCTGTGCACAACTGCTGTGAGTGCATCTGAACTTAGAAAGGTCTATAAAATATTCCAAATCCAAAGAGAAGCTTGTAACATACTTTGTATACAGTAAAACGGTTTTACAAGAGCAACTTATCAATGGAAAACCTCTGAATTCCCTCTTTATTTAAAACTGTGATTCTGGTACCACGTCCTCTAGGCAAAATCTTCCACTCAGTCCTGAGAGACAATGCATTCAGTCACATCCCACTGAAGGACTGTCATAGTCCTTTTGGTCCCAGAAGGTAAAGTTATAACGTTCTATTTATCTCAGCTCCAAATTCCCTGATGACCCAAGCTGTTGGCTCAAACCTTGTCTCAATTCTAATGTGAGTCAATGAGTTCATTCAGTGAGGAAGCTCAAGCAGTTAAGGTAGGAAGAACATAAGGAAGGAAGGACAAAGATGGAGATATGCCTTGAAGAGGATTCTTACTGTTATAAGCAGGATGGCTTTCTGTGTGGATCACCCCTACTTCTCTTGAGGTATTCTGGCAGGCCTATGTCTTCTTCTTGTGCTCTAACACAACTGCTTTTGTCTTCATGTCTCACTACGGATACAGACTTGTCCTACTACAGACAAGTCAGTCATGACAAAAAGGTGAGAAAACCTCTTCTCTGTGAGATAGCTAGCATGCCCATGGCTGTCCCCACTGAAGAACAATGTGGAAGCAATCAATAAGCCACCGGGAAATTGTGAACTACAGCAGTAGTTCAAAATTAAAACTGTATTCAGATCACATCTAGCAAGGCCTGTAATAATATAGTGAAAATAATCATATCGATTCAGAGGAGTAAAATACCAATAAATATATATTAGACATTGCTTATTGCTCATTATTATTGTTTAATTTGTGCAGCTAAATGATAGCTTCAGTGAAAGTTACTGAGAAGGACTCCCTGAGAAATATTTTCTTTCTAAGCAAAATATGGTTGATAAAATTTAAGTACAGGATGTAGTACAAAAAAAAAAAAAAAAAAAGTAAGAAAAAAGTAAGAGATTCTGAAGTCATTGTGGTCATTCAAAGTCAAATTTGCACTGAAAGTGTACGTCTGAGGTACATAGAACGTTCAGTAGATTGGACAAACTGAAAAAGTCTTCAGTATAGAGGGAAAGATAGAATACTATCCTAAAAGTAACTGTATCAGGCATTCACTGGCAAAAGCTACATGTCATCAAGTGAAGAACATAAAGGTATAAAAGTTTGTCTGCTGTGTATATTGGGCATATTCCCAGCAGATTTTGATAATAAGGTGGCAAAAGCTATTTTGCCATCTTGTGGGATGTTCACTCTGATGCATTATCTCAGAGATCTCCAGTACTCTGTAGAAGAGGGGGAAAAGGCTCTCTGCAGCATATGTTGACATCAGCTGAAATTAAAATTGAGACCATGTCAGTTAAGAATGGGAGCTGGGCAACTTGGCTGTGATGCGGAACAAAATGTAGAAAGTTTTGTAATTAAAGTTGACATACAGCTAGTGGACACAAAAGAGCAGGAGATATTCTATACTGAGAGGAGGTCTCTTGGCCTTTATATGGAAAATAATTGAAAAAAAAAGGAAAAAGTTATTACAACTGGTTATTTTGTCCTATTACCTTTCATTTCTCCTATTTTAAAAATGGCTTACTGCCTCTAATGAAACATAATATTGATATTCAATTAAATCAGGTTTTTCCTTTGAAATATTGGAACTTATATGTTTTTCCCCAAAGGATAAAAGTCTAAAGAATTGTATTTCCCTCTTTTTACATACTGCCTAGGTTTCTTTTTCCTTAAGACAAATCTGTTTCAGAGACTTTATATCCTGAATGCAAGCATTAGATCTGTACAAATAAAACAAATCCACAAAAGGGATTTTTGGACTCGATGATCCAGCATGAGCTATCTTATGATAATCTGTGATAAAAGATATGAATAAAAGTTGTGTCAGAGAACTGAAAATGTTACCTGAGGTTTCTGTCTGCCAATAGGTGGCAGAAGCTGTGCTGTGGAGAAAGTCGGTGGCCTTGTACATGTTGGCCAGTCACAGAGCTCATAGGCAAAGGGACTTGTCTTCATTTGCTGCCGTCTGTGGCTCAATGGCTTTGACTTCCGTAGCAGCAATTCCATTGGATCTGGGGATTTTCTGAATGGTGAATTGTAGATGCCTGCAATCTGAGCAGAAAATAGGGTTATATTTGACTTCAACTGACTTAGAACTTGTTCTTGCATTTATTGTATGAATCAAGCCAATTAAAAAAAAAATATATATCTATAATATTCAGTTCTACATAAAGTTTCTGACAACTACTGACATGACCTATAGTTTAAATGCATCTCTGGGCATTGCATTACGGTTACAAAAGGGGTTAAATAGGATAATGTAATGTATAATCTGTGTTTCAGCCCTTCAAACAGGCTGAAAAACTAGTTCAAAAACTTTCATTTTATGGAAAAAAGAGTTTCCTGTATCTCAAACCCATGTTTTCTGTCAGTCACGTTCAGTCTTCCACCTTCTGTAGCAGTAATCAAAGACGCCAGTTTTCCCTTAAAAAATAATTAAAAGTGTACAAGTTTGCATCCAGTTTTAAAAGGAAACTATTACCATTGCTTTGAAATTTAAAGTTTAATTTAAATTCCTACACACAATAGGAACAAAAATATACTACCTATTATTTCCAAATGCATACTTAAAAGAGTAAAATAAATGTTTATGCGAAGAAACGTAACTCTTGTCCCTTTAAACTCTGTGCTTGTGGAAAAAAAAACCTTGCGAAAAACAAATATTTAGAATTAAATTTATTAATTGTGAATTAAATGGAACGATTCATTCTTCACTGAATTTTATATTTAATTTTTTCAGGATACAACATTAATGGCATCACTAGTCTGGTCTTACACAGCAATTACTAATATAAAGCATACATTTAAAATTCTGAACTTGTTATCTACTTTATTAAGAATCTGTGAACATCTCAAAAGCAAAAATTATGTGATAGACAATTCCCAAATCATTCCTATAAATGTAGGGATATTATCAGTTGTATATAAACAGTTCACAAATAGACATATGCGTGTTTACTGGATTAATTGTCAATTAGTAAACAGGAAAATTCCTATACCATATTGTACAAAGTCACTAAATCTCCTATAAAACAGATGATACATGCTTAAAATACACCTGGTAAAAATTAAAGATACTGTGTAGATTTAAAGTTAAGTATATACTCTACAACAGTATACTCAGAGTATTCTTCAGACTTCTAAAGTAGGTTTGCTCAGTTAAAATATTTTGTTCATTGCTTTTATCAAAATTTTAATTGCTAAGAAGTACTGAATAAAAATACTAGGAAAATAAATCAGTTTTGTTTTTGAAAGGTAAGGAAAAGAGCAAATGATTAAAATCTTGCATTTCTCCTTTGGAACACTACTGAGGACTCATGAGAAAACTAAGCAGAGCATCAACCTCTTCATAAAGTATTAATCTCTTGGGGCTGAGAGGATTGAACACTCCCCAATTACCCCTAATGCATTTTTCATTAACATATCCTACTGGGAAGTTCTGATTTGCTGTGTCAAAAAGTTAAATAAGGCCCATATAAAACATAGTTTAATGAACAGAAATACTGTGACATGGTAGCTTATTCAAAATATTTTTGGATTATTCAAAATTTTATGGGCTATATTCTTCAATTCTGTAAGTGATCTGGCCCTAATGACAATTTATTTTGGCCCTCTGATACATGTTCCCCTCTTAATGCAAACACTATAAACTGTTCCACTACACTATCAGTCTAAATGTGTAATGGGAAAGAGGATATGGATATAAGTGATAGAAACATATGCATGCCAAACAAACACTAGTTGTTCTTTCAACTTTTCAGGAGGCCAGACTAAAATGACAGGCAGCCATCCTTCAAATAACAGACATGCAGAATCACTGGAGTGAATGCAAAATTGCAGGTCCATCTGTAAAATCCAGCTGCATCTGCATCTTAAAAGTCTGCCTCTCACTCACATAAACATCTCATAAAGTTCCAAATTCTCCTGTTTCAGTAGCATATCATATGCTGTTCTATTGCAATTTTCTGTTTAACCTGGTATATTTTTGCTTGTGCACACTCAGAGACCTGTGAGTGCTACATAAAAACAAGTTCCATATGTTGTCTTGGACTTTATTGCACTTTTCCAAAATTATTGAATGCATTTACACTCTACACTTGTTAGATAAGTTTTGTCAAATATAATATGCCACAGGCAAAGTCTTCCACACAAATTACATTCCATGCAGACTATTTACAATCCATCTCTGTGCATGGTCATTATGGCTCTTTACTCAGTAGTCCTACTGTGGCCATTGGATCTGCCTACATTCTAATCAATGAATTCTTGCCTTCACTCTGTTGATGACAGTAAAATAGGAAAGTGCTTGCTTGTGACAACCTTTTTTGTTATGTTTTACTGAACATTGTATTGCTCCTTCATCTTCCTACCAATTCCTACACAATATATGTTCAGCTGTTGTATCCTGTCTAAAGTGGAGACTGTGTTCTAGTCATGCCATGAGTCTGCAGAGGTCCTCTGCTAATGGGAGAGATACTGTTCTGTGTATGATAAAGTCTGTGAAACACATTTCATAGAAAACTACAATGTCACTGCAAATAGAAGTGTGTTTTCCAGAAGAAAAACATCTCCATGTCCATCACTGAGAATCAGGATGATCTGGAATAAACCACTATGGCATAATAACAAATCTCTGAAGTTAGCATGCATAAATTTGTTGATAAGTAGCAAATCCTGAAAAAAAAAAATAGCTGAAGAGCAAATTGGGTAGGAAATTTTAACAAAAAAATTAGATTATTTCAATCTACATAGCACAGATTTGTTTTGTTTCCCCAAAGTGGAAAATTACATCTTAAAAAATTTAAATATTTTTTCTCTGAAGAATTACAAGCAGGAATAACTTTAAAGTGAAATACTGTCCAGGCTGTAAGAAATGGCATTGCTTCTGTTAGTCATACTTGAAGCAATATTAATGGCTCCATGATTATAATGGCTTTCTGAAACTGCATTTCGCAATCTATGTTGAGATACCATGGAAAGTCTAAACGATATTTCTTTGCTTAAATGTTTATTGGCAGAAAAAAAAAGACAGTTCATAAAGGGTTCAGACACTGTGAAATGCTGCTGAAAATCTCAAGGTGCACAAATAAGATTGGCTTTTAGCACTTTTAATGACGCCAAAATTACCCAAAATAGGAGTGGGAATCTCTCGATTCAGTGTCTTTTGATTTATTATTGCTGAAAAAGTATCTTAACGAAGAAACATCTTTTGTCCTTTTTTTTGCATACTATCAGGTCAAATATATAGATAGTGTACAAACTATGAAAAAAGATTTTGACTTTTAGTGAGGCCAGCTGGACAATCTAAAAGTTGCTTCTTCTACAGTTGAAACTCTTTGTAAGATCTAGGTCAAAACTCATTATGAAGTGCATTTCTTAAATAATTTTTCAAGCAAACCTTGCTTATTACTTTATATTTTAATTATGTATGTTTAAGTATTCAAACAGACAGATAGGAAAGCAATCAGCAGAGTTACTATCCAGACAGATAAAATTAATATTCATTAACTCTAAATTCTCCAAGGTTTGTGGTAAGGTTTTAGGCCTAGATTTAAAACTGGCAAAGTCTGGTAGGAGAGAAAAGGGAACGAGTTTTATTCTACTTTCCAGTTCAGACCAATGTCTGGCAAAATTCCTTCCATTAATTTTTAAATATCTCTGCAAATCAGAGTCTTATTTTTATAAGTTCATGACCATGTGCTGTGTGTTGATGGATGCCCTATTCTCTCTGTCCTCTGCAGAAAGCTGGCAGTCTGTAGAAATCTAAGAATCTAGAGGATCAAAGCCTTTGGTACTTAATAAATGTGTGTATCTTCTTGAAAGCAGCACAATGTTTTAAAAGTGTTCATCCTTTTCCTTCTTTACACAATATTCTCTCAACTACAAAACCATTGTTTTCAGTAGTAGAAGAGCATCTGTCTTGAGATATTACCTCATATTTTGATTCCAATATTTTCCTCACTTTTAATCCATAAGAAAATATACTACTCTCCAAAATTTTGGGATAGGTTGCAAATAGTACCTCTTGCCTGCAGGGAGAATGACATTTTTCCACATCTGTGTTCTTCACAACTAAGAAAGGCCTGTGTCAAAGCCAGGTTTATGGGACTTCATTTCTGGGAACAATTTTCTAAAGTGACAGACACTATGGGGAAATCTGTGCTAAATGTTAAAAATCCTACAACTGAGTTATTTGCAGTACTGTCATGCTAACTTCTACCTCAATAAGACCATAGAAATCTCAGGAGGGGACTCTGCTAATAGCTTCTTACTGACCTCCTTGCAACAAGCTCTTCTGGTGAATGGTGGCCCAGTGGTGAATATGGCAAATGAGGTGTGAAAGCACAGATTTATTTTTTTTATTGTTATTATTATTTTTATGTTTTTTTGAGACTGGTTCTGACTCACCAGGGAAAATTAAAAAAAGAAAAAAAAAAAAAAAAAAAAGAAGAGAGAAATGAGTTATACAATAGATATATTTTTTCCCCTCAGAATTCTCTGCCTCAGACCTTCCATCATGGAAACCCAACCATGACCTGGAATATTAATTGTGTCAGGTCAAGCATACTGGCAAATGTACCATTTGTTACCCAGTCATCCTTAGCATTACATTAATATTTTGAATCATTTTGCATTTCTAACACTCTATCATTTGGTTTCCTCCCAATCATTTTCTTTATAAATAATGTTGGCGTATAAAGAAAGAAAAAAATCATAAGAAAACAAATATTCATTTAATGAATTTTAGCAAAGAAAATATTTGTTGGTTTGAGACTTTTTTATATTCTGTATTGCTTCCACCTCTAATCCTGTATTTAGTCCATGCTGTAGAATATTTTTGTTTCTTCCTGTTCATCATTTCTATACAAAGAAAAAGACTTAACTGCTTTTCCCAGAATACAGCAAAGAAATTATTAAGTACCTTGTCTTGAAAGCTAAACTGTGAAGGAAGAGAGCAGCAAAAGAAATAGAAAGAAGGAATGAAGAAAGAAAAGAAAAAGGTGCAGGTAGAAAGGGAAAGACACAGCAGTGTTGATTATGCTGGAGAGTTC